TCTGCTCCCTGGGTTTTAGCGCATTGAGAAATTGAGATTATTAGAGTGGAAAACCTTCCCAATAAAATGTCCCCAATGAAGTTTTCTAGCTTGAAGACTATTGGTCAAAAGAAAAAAAAAAGGAAAAAAGAAAAATTAAAAAACAGAGGAGCAGGCCGGGTGCGGTGGCTGATGCCTGTAACCCCAGCACTTTGGGAGGCCAAGGTGGACGGATCACTTGAAGTCAGGAGTTCAAGACCAGCCTGGTGAACCCTATCTCTGCCAAAAATGCAAAAATTAGCCGGGCGTGGTGGCACATGCCTGTAATCCCAGCTACTCAGGAGGCTGAGGTGGGAGAATTGCTTGAACCCGGGAGGTGGGGGTTGCAGTGAACTGAGATCATATCCCTGCACCCCAGCCTGGGTGACAGAGCGACACTCCATCTCAACAAAACAACAACAACAACAACAACAACAACAAAAACCCAGAGGAGCTAGAGACAAAGTGACTCAGGCTTACATACAGAGCCTGCTATAGATAGGTATACAATACACATGGCCCAGAACTCATACTTGTAATACTCATTTGTCTGAAGACAGCTATCTGATGGGAAATTATATGAGTGAGGATATAAGAGAAAACAAATAAATGTGCTCAATTATTTTGAATACCTTTTTTTTTCCTTTTCTAAATGCATCATTCAAAAAACTTGTTATAGTCTGATTTCATTTGTAGGATGGTATATTCCAAAGTTGAGGTGACAGATTTCAGGAACTTCCTAGAAATTTTAGAGCTATCGGTCAGGTGTGGTAGCTCACACCTGTAATCCCAGCACTTTGGTAAGCCGAGGTGGGTGGACCACCTGAGGTCAGGAGTTTGAGACCAGCTTGACCAACATGGAGAAACCCTGTATCTACTAAAAATACAAAAAATTAGCCAGGCGTGGTGGCACATGCCTGTAATCCCAGCTACTCAGGAGGCTGAGGCAGGAGAATCACTTGAACCCAGGAGGCAGAGGTTGCGGTGAGCCGAGATCACACCATTGCACTCCAGACTGGGCAACAAGAGCGAAACTCGTCTCAAAAAAATAGAAAGAAATTTTAGAGCTATCTCGTTGCCTTTTAACTCTGTTTCTAAAACCCTGCTGCTTCTGCTATGCATTCTAAGAAAGAAGATTTATGTGATCTAATTTATTCCAGTGGAAAAGCAGGGATCTAAGTTGTCTCATGTCCAACAAAGTTGGATTGTATAAGATTTTATTAAAAAATCCAGTGCTTCTACTCTGTTTATTACCTGAACTGCAAATCTGGTGTAAATCTTGGAGTTCAGGGAAGGTCAAAAAAAAAAAAAAAAAAAAAAAGGAAATGGTCTCTACTTCTCCACTGGATGCTTTCTGTTGCCCCGACCTTTCTCTCTCTGTCATTTTCATGCACTCAGGAGGTCATCTCTTTGGTCTTCCAGTCTTGGTTAAGAGCGCTGGGTCTGAAGTTTGAGCCATGTCAGCCAAGGGTTAGAGCTGGACACAGAAGCCACTACAGGCATCTCAGGTAGAAAGGGATTTAATACAGGAAATTCTATGTTTACAAAATCCTTGCGAGAAAAAAATTTGGCAGTTAAAAACAAACAAACAAACAAACAAACAAACAAACAATTAAACAGGCAATGATCACAGGACCCAGCAATTGCACTCTTGGGCAAAGTGAAAATGTATGTTCACACAAAAACCTGTGTGTGAATGTTCACAGTGGCTTTGTTTGTAGTGGTCCCAAACTGGAAACAGCTGAGATATCCTTCAGTAAGTGAACAGTTAAACCAGCGATTGTACTGCCATACTATGGAACGCTATTCAACAATAAAAATTAATGAGGCTGGGGGCAGTGGCTTACCCCTGTAATCCCAGCACTTTGGGAGGCAGAGGTGGGCAGATCACTTGCGGTCAGGAGTTCGACACCAGCCTGGCCAAAATGGTGAAACCTTGTCTCTACTAAAATACGAAAATTAGCTGGGTATGGTGGAGGGTGCCCACAATCCCAGGTACTTGGGAGGCTGAGGCAGGACAATTGCTTGAACCTGGGAGGCAGAGGTTGCAGCAAGCCAAGATCGCACCACTGCACTCCAAGCCTGGGCGACAGAGCAAGACTCCCACTCAAAAATAACTAACTAACTAAATAAACAAACTATCCATACACACAATATCTTGGATGATGAATCTCCAGGAAACTTGAATGACAAAAGCACATTTCAAAAGATTATTCATTTATAATACTTAGAAAAAATTAAGACACGGTCTTGCTCCGTCACTCAGGCTGGAGTGCAGTGGTGCGATCACGGCTCATTGCAGCCTCGATCCCCTGGGATCAAATGAGGCCCCAGCCTCCCCAGTAGCTGGGACCAGAGGCATGTGCCACCATGTCTGGCTAGTTTTTATTCTTTGTTGAGCTGGGGTCTCGCTATATTGCTCAGGCTGGTCTCAAACTCCTGGGTTCAAGCAATTCTCCCAACTTTGTCTCCCAAAGTGCTGGGATTACAGGCGTGAACCACTCCACTTGGCCTATAGTACATTTTGAAATGACAAAATTTTAAAAATAGAGGACAGGTTCATGTTTCAAGAGGTTAGGGATGGGTGTGGGAGGGAGGTGGTGCAGTTATAAAGGGGTAACATGAGGTATCCTGGTGGTTTTGGAATCCTGATGGCAGTGGTGGATGAATGAATATATACATGCAATAAAACTGTATGGAAGTAGGCCAGACATGGCGGCTCATGCCTGTAACCCCAGCCCTGTGGGAGGCCAAGGCAGGAGGATTGCTCGAGCTCAAGAGTTCGAGGCCAGTCTGGGCAACAAAGTGAGACTTCCATCTCTACTCAAAATAAATAAATAAATAAATAAAATAGTTGGGCATGGTGGGTGGCCAAGGAGGGAGGATCAATGGAGCCCAGGAGCTGAAGACCAGCCTTGGCAAAAGTGAGACTAAAAATAAGCAAATTAGCTGGACATGGTGGTGTGTACTTGTGGTCTCAGTTACATAGGACGCTGAGACAGGAGGACGACTTGAGTCCAGGAGGTTGAGGTTGCAAGTGAGCCTGGATGACAGAGAGAGACCTTGTCTCAGACAAAACAAACCAAACCAAACTGTATACAAGTAAATATACATACTCTTGCACAAATGAGTACAAAAACTGAGGAAATCTGAATGAGGCTGGTGAATTCTTTTTTTTTTTTATTTTTTTAATTTTTTTAATTTTATTTATTTATTTATTTTTTTTGAGACGGAGTCTCCCTCTGTCTCCCAGGCTGGAGTGCAGTGGCGCGATCGCAACTCACTGCAAGCTCCGCCTCCCGGGTTCACGCCATTCTCCTGCCTCAGCCTCCCGTGTGGCTGGGACTACAGGCGCCCGCCACCGCGCCCGGCTAATTTTTGTATTTTTAGTAGAGACGGGGTTTCACCGTGTTAGTCAGGATGGTCTCGAACTCCTGACCTCGTGATCCGCCCATCTCGGCCTCCCAAAGTGCTGGGATTACAGGCGTGAGCCACCGCGCCCGGCAAGAGACTGGTGAATTCTATCGATGCCAATATGCTGCTTGTGCTATTGCTCTACAGTATTTGAAGACATGACCATGTCACTCACTGTATTATTCCTTAAAAATACATTTGAATCTACAATTATCAGTTGAAAAAAATATTCATGAGACAGAGGAAGAGAACTTGGAGGGCCATCAGTTGTTGTTGAAGTCAGGACATTACCGCCATAGCTGAAGGCCAGAATTCAGAAAACCACTCCTGCTGCCATGCTGCTCCCCCAACCCAAGTGGCTCTCATGCCCATGAAAACGGTGACTAGAAACAAACTTGGACTCTAGCTGCCATTAATCCTCATGTCAGTTGGACCAGAAAGCGGAAAGATGGCTTCTGTTTCACTTCCACCTGCCAGATTGAGCAGGAACACATCTAACTGACAAAGCTCAATTTGCTTCCTATATGTGAGATGCAAAATGGTCTGGGACATGTGGCTGTTAGCACTCCAATTTTTCCAAAGAGAATATGGAATGGGAGTTGAATGAGTATAATATCTACCATAACCAGCCACTAGCTATGTGGCCTTGGGCAAGTTTATTAATGTTTCCAATTCTTAGTTTCTGACTCTATGAAATAAAGACCATTATCATACCGAGTGTGGGAAAACTAAAATTGTTTTTCCCCTGCTCTAATACAACAATCAACAGAGAAGACTTCTGTGACCAAGCATGCAAGGGATTTCTTCCCACCAACAAGCAGGCAATCAGTTCTACAGGCGACACCAGCAGGGTGCCCTTCGATTCCATTCAATTCTGACACTGTCTCCTTGGAGATGGCATCAGATCCCACAGGCCAAGGGTTGAGTCTCCAATACTGTGCCCCCCCCAACTTCTGATGCCAATTGCAAGCCCCAGCTTATTTTACCTGTGCTTCTGACTGGCTAAAAATTGGGGTTCACATGACCCCCTTCTTAGGTTTATTAATCTGATAGAGTGGCTCACAGAACTCAGGGAACCCCTTACTCAGGATTACCAGTTACTATAAAGGATATGACAAAGGATGCAGATGAAGAGATGTACAGGGCAAGGTACAGGAGAATGAGCTTGGAGCTTTGGTGCCCACCCTGAAGCGTCACCCTCCATGAACCTCCACGTGTTCAACGATCTAGAACTCTCCACACACAGTCCTTTTGGGTTTTTATGGAGGCTTCATTACGTAGGCATGATTGATTAAATCATTGGCCATTGGTGATCAAGTTAGCCATCAGCTTCTCTCTCCTCCCTGGAGGTTAGGGGATGGGACTGAAAGTCCTAGCCCTCTAATCCTGCCTTGGTCTTCACAATGACCAGTTTCCACCCTGAAGCCAGCTAAGGGCTGACACTCAACAGCGAACTCATTAGCATACAAAATACATCATTTTGGTGATTCTAAGCATTTTAGAAATTGTATGCCAGGAAAACGGAAATGAAGACCAAATATATATTTTACCACAGCAAATACACTTACCTCCTAGAGTTGGCTGAGACGTAGCACACTGCCCGGCACATCTCATACGCTCCCTCCATCCTTGCTGGCCATTATCATGGTTTGTGCAGTCTGAGAAAGAAAATCAGCAAATGTTCCAGGTGAAAAGCAAAGGAAATAAATATTTAAAAACAGAGAGAAGAGAGAATTTTAAAGGGAAAGCAGGAGAATAATTCTTGAATAACTGGCATGTACTCAGCGGCAAGAGATGGGAAAGAAAGATGTGAAAAATGTTATTCCACATATTTAGTCTTGTATAGAATGACTGACTTATATCCAATTAGAGAACTTGGAGTTGGAGGCCTCACTCTTCTCCCCATATTTTGTATCATGTTAAAACAAATATGAAAATGTTATGAAAGTCATAAAATGATTCAATATCATATCCCCTTTAGATTATAGCCCCTTGAAGATTATTTCTCCTCTACTGCTATACCTTCAGCAGCTAGTATGTTTTTGGAGATTAGCCAAGTTTGTGAGTAAAGGTGTCAGCATCAACAACTAGCTACTAAATGTATTTGCTTCTTTTCTGACATACCATGAAGTCACTATATAGTATAACCAGAGTGTCTGTCAGTTCAACCACCTGCTTGTTAACATCTTTCACTGACCTTTTATCGCCTCCTGGAGAAGGGCTTCTGGGCCTCAGCACTATTGACATTTTGGGCTAGAAAAATCTTTGTTGTGGGGGCGACCTGTGCACTGCAGATGGTGAGCGAAATACTTAACTTCTACTCATTAGATACCTATAGCACAGCTCCGTTTGTGACAATCAAGAATGCCTCCAGGCATTGTCAAATGTCCCCTGGGGACAAAATCACCCAGGGATAAGAACCACTGTGTTAGAGGAAAACACAACTGAGCCATCACCCTTAGAGCTTTCCATTACAGCTGGTAGCTTTACTTCTAGTTCATGTAATCTTCTTATGCTGCCCCAGACCCTGTGCTGACTTTGTTCAAGTTGCCCTAATGCTACTGGGAAAATGACAACAACCTCCACTACCAACCTCCTCCCTCTGCGCCCAAAAACAGTTAAAAAAAAGAACCTCTTTTTCCCTCTAGCTGTCAATTATGGGTTGAATTTCATCCCTCTCCCAATTAATATATTGATGTCGTAACCCTTAGTAGCTCAAAATGTGACTGTATTTGTAAATAAGGTCATTAAGGTGGGCCCTCATCAAATGTAACTGGTGTTCTTATAAGAATAGGAAGTTTAGACACAGACAGATATATAGAGAGAACACCATGTGAACATGAAGACAGCCAGCTACAAGAAAAGGAGAGAAGCCTCAGAAGAAATCAGCCCTTGATCCTAAACTTCCAGTCTCTGGAACTGTGAGGAAATAAATTTCTATCATTTGTCACCCTATGGATGGTATGTTGCTGTAGCAGACCTACCACCTGTCTTCAGAAAAGTTTTCTAGAGAAATAGCCTTTATTCTTCAAGCTCCCTCTGACCTACCATTTCCCATCATTTTGTAAATATTTTCAGGCCCTAATAATGTTGATTTAATTTCCATTATTTCTTCTACTGTCACACACTTCTTAATAGGGCAGGTATTTGGGGGTGTGACCAGAAATTGACTGGTATCAACTTCCAGTGTTTGTGTGATAGGAGGTCTCAAACTACAGGATAAATGTGTCATATCTCCCATAAGTATCCGTTTTGCTCAGTGATTTTTTTTTTTTTTTTTTTTTTGAGATGGAGTTTTGTTCTTCTTGCCCAGGCTGGAGTGCAATGGCAAGATCTCAGGCTCACTGTAACCTCCCCCTCCCGGGTTCAAGCAATTCTTCTGCCTCAGTCTCCCGAGTAGCTGGGATTACAGGCGTCCACCATCACGCCTGGTTAATTTTTTGTATTTTTGTACAGACGGGTTTTCACCATATTGGCCAGGCTGGTCTCGAACTCCTGACCTCAGGTGATCTACCTGCCGCAGCTTCTCAAAGTGCCGGGATTACAGGCATGAGCCACGGTGCCCGGCTTTCTCAGTGATTTTTGTTTTTGTTTTTGTTTTTTTTTTTTGAGATGGAGTCTCACTCTGTCACCCGGGCTGGAGTGCAGTAGCGACTCACTGCAGCCTCTGCCTCCCTGGTTCAAACGATTCTCCTGCCTCAGCCTCCTGAGTAACTGGGAATACAGGCACGCATCACCAGGCCCAGCTAATTTTTGTATTTTTAGTAGGAACGGGGTTTCATTATGTTAGTCAGGCTGGTCTCGAACTCCTCACCTCGTGATCCACCCGCCTCGGCCTCCCAAAATGCTGGGATTACAGGTGTGAGCCACCGCGCCCGGCGGCTCAGTGATTTTTTCAGGAAAATGTTAAATAATTTGTTCATGCATTAATTTAAGGCGTATTTACATGAAAACGAATATAGTTGTAGCATATTCCTGTATATTTCACAGACATTTCTAGCTTATAGCATGTTCCTCTCAATGGAAGCGTTCCCTTTCCTCAGCTTCAGGGTCCCTTCATCACTCAGAGGCAGCATCCTACTGGCGCACCAGATGTTCGTTCAGCCATTCTCCTCATAGAACGCAGAGAGGCCGGGTGTGAAACCAGACCAGTTTATCTACAAAGCTAAGAAATATTCCTAACGGACTTCGCGGAGCGGGAGAGAGAGGTTTTAAATTAATCCTAAGCTTTTCTGATTTTGGGGTTCAGGTCTGCTATACATACTCCTGCATGTTATAATGGGCACAGCCCTAGTAACTGATTTGAAACGATGATCTGAGGTTATCGATTGGGGGAGGAATAAGGACAGAGAAGCAGAGCAACGGAGACCGGGAAGTTTCCGGCTCTGCCCTGGATTGCAGCCAACTGCTTAGGCACACACACCTGCTGTCCTCCAGGCTCTGCGTCACCTCCTCGTCTCTCCCTGTCCAACGAGCAGCTGCCAAATGGCAGCCAAATCCAATAGATATAAGCCAGGACCCCACCTGTGTTTGAATTACTTTCTTTGAAATTTGCCACGTCCAGGTTTATTGACCCGGGCAGTCTTTTCAACATTTCCTTATGCTGCATACGGGTGGGGCCAGGGACTTGCTTGTGCACTGCCAGTCCCCAGAACAGAACACGTTGAATTCAGCTATTTGGAACCTCGTTCCTGGTTCCGACCTCAGGGAACGCCAGAAGAGCAAGAGCCAGCCTCGTTAGTCACCCCCACCTCTGCAACCCCCGTCTCGGGGCCTTGTAACGCTAGCGCCCTTCAGGTACCATAAACCAGGCTTCCCCAAAGGCGCTGCGACAAGTTTCCAGGATTCATCAAAGTCGATGATCCCGGCCCTGGGACCCCAGGGTTTGCAAATTCAGACCTTTAGCCCAATGGAGAGGTCGGCTCAGCGTTCCTCCCAGCATCCTCGGGTGACATTAGGATTCCTGGGAGATTCGAGAGGCCGCCGGGGAGGACAAGGGAACCGCGTCCAGGCCGCCCACGGCCAGCCAGGCGAGAGGCGGGACGCGAAGCCTCTGCCTTCTTCCTCTTCCCTCAGGCG